TATTAAAATGTCCTGTCCCAGTCAAGGATACCAACTGAATTATGTTTATGAAGTTGTTCTAGGTGCAGTCCCTCTCCCCTCTCTTTAGCCATACACAAAAGGATGACAGCTCAGGTGTGGAGCAGCAGTATTCCAATGCAAAAAAAGAGAAGATTGTTGGTGAAGGCTTTAGATCCAAGACTTAAAAATTAATGTCATGACTGTAGTATTAAAAGGTGTACATTAATTCTTATTTCTGATTTTCCAAGATTTCAGCCTTTCTGAAAAAAGTTCAGTAAAGATTTGTCATAGACAAAGTATTACGTAAACCTCCAATTCCATGTGTCAACACAGTTCTGTTCAGATAAAAGTATCCTGGTGCATAGTTACAAAATTTTAGCATCCAGAGGATGCATGTTTGTGACTGGGTAGAAACACATATACACAGAGCTCTTGTCTTAGAATGTGCATATGAACTGTACCACAGAAATATCCACAGTATCTATAGCTTTTGGGAAAAATTACTTTTCCTTAAATCCCACCTCAAAATTTTCTAGTCATAGTCAAGTATAGGTGTTTTTTCTGCAGAGTTTAACAGCTGACTTGGCAGAAGTACTGCAGAAAGTGAGTTTGTATTTCTGCTTATTTATTTGGTAAACCAGAAAGGCTTTAAGTCTCCCTAACTTTTCAGGAATTAAGTAGCGTCGAGCAAACTGCACCCAATGTATTCTGAATAATACATAATACATAAGCACAATACGTAAGCGTAATTAAAAAAGCACAATATGCATATTCAGATGGCCAAAACTGCTTAGCTTTCATCCCTCTCAATTACTTCTCTTGACCAAATTCTGCCCATGGCTACACATGAACAGAAGAGGATCTGATATCTGATCCTACAGCTCCTATGCAGTTCCAAACTACCACAAAGGAGATTCCAGTTCCGGTACCAGACTTAGTAATAATCAACAAAGAAGTACAAGTTTTCTCACATCAGACCAGGAGCTGCATTTGTCCAGTGTGTATCTAGTATTCGGCTGGACACAATGTCCCATGCTAGTATCTCCTTATTCCTCAGAGCATACAAAAGGTTCAAAATAATGCCTGCCTCTGCCAGAGGCAATCTGAGGCTCCATTCTCCACAGATAATCCTAAAGTTAGGAACAGTTGTTCCAACTAAGGTGAAGTCATTTTATAGACACAGAAAATTACAGAATGTGTAAAGATATCTGCATATAACTCACTGGAAAAGGTTTGTAATGGCTAAACCAGGATGAAATCTTAAATACAAGCTTTGCCTCAGAAGTATGTTCACCTAATTTAAATGATGTTATACATTTCCCTATGAACTGCAAAAAAAGAAATGAGACCGTGACTTTTTTTTTTCTTCAACCAAATACAATCTGTAATCTCTTTCTCCCTGACTTAACGAGGAAAGGCTTTTCCCCCAACTGTTCTCTCTCCAAGAGGCCATCATCCCATTTTTCTCTTTTTTCCCCCAAGTAAGACTATAAAATGCAGAGAATGCAAATGATAGAATAACCTCAAAACTGATGCAGGCCAGGTAAGGCTACGCTACAGGAAGTGTTCAGCCCAAGTGACCTCCTTCCAGGGCCTTTCTGCGTTGGGATGACACAGCTCTACTGTACAACACCTAGCCTAGAGATTCCACACCACTAGTGCTTAAGAAGAAAGCCATCTCACTGGAGTAAGCCAGAAGTAAATTAATGAGCTGCTCTAGAATATCCTTTGTTTATTTTCAGGTAGGTCAAAATTAAATTATTAAGGATGTATCTGTTTACTGATATACAGTTTTATTAGCATTATTAGTTCAAATTCCTTGGCACCTGCACTGCCTACTCTCAGAACTGAAGTCCAGAAATTAACTGTAACACCAGCAGGAGAAAAGGACACACTATGTGCTCTAAACGCAAACAAACAGACCACTCTGTCTAGTGTCTAAAATGCCTATTTGATTTCTTTCTTTAAAAACAAACATTTACCATTAAAAAAACCCCAACTTTCCTGGTTTTGCTAAAAGTCTTCTTTGAGGTCACAGAAAAGTGGAGTTAAGACTTCCTTACTCTCACCCTGCTGACAAGATCCTTTATTTCAATGACTGGATCATATAGGCCAAACAAATTTTAAAAACATGTTATTTTCTTTTCTTTTTAGTTAGAATCTTTTTTTCCCTTAATTAGCACTAAAATCTACATGTATGTTTTATGACATACAACACTTTCCATGAAGGTGGTATACAGAAATTCTACCCTTTCAAATAGAAGCAGCAACTAAAATCACCTCAGGATTTTATATACTGCACATAAACATAAAAGGTTCTTTCTTCCTTTAGGCTGCCACTTAAGGAAATATATGATACACAAGTAGGGACAGATCCTCAAATGGCAGGTGTTCTTGTGTAAGATGTCTCAAAATGTCCATGAGTTAAAATTATAAGAAGAACAGAAAGTACACTCTTTTGTCTTTCTGTTTCTCTTTAAATTATTAATGATGTTATCAATATATGTCTCCAGGAAAGATTAATTAACCAGGTATGAGGAAAGCCTAATTCCAAGACTAGGAAAAGGAGAAGTTGCATTGAAAACTAACCTGCTAAGTTATTTGCTTTTACTTGTAAGCAGTTTAAGAAACATTTTATGGAATGAGAACATTAAGAAACTAAGAGGGTAGGACAGTGAAGTTAAACCAAGAATGATTTGTTCTCACTAACAAGTTTATTCTAGTCACTCTTAATTTTACTGTAAGTTTAACTAAATAATTAATGATCTTTCAGTTTACCAAAGGAATACGCAGGTTATTTTCCCCTATTTTTTAAGGTTTACCTCAGGCTGGTGAAATGTAACAGCTGAATTTTCACGGACCAGTGAGAGCAAAATAGAGCCTTTGCATATGCTGTTACATTAAAACCAAAGTAAGCACTTTCACAACAATGCATTTCAGTGTAGAAAGTGTTGATATGTAAACAATTTTTCCTGCAAATTAGAATGGCCAAGGAGACACTTGCAACAAATACAAGCAACATGCCAAAGACAAGTGCGTCCACTACTGCAAGGAAAATATGTCAGTGGTCTGACTTAAAATTACATTCGATGTAACTGTGCCAAAAGTGAAAGTAAAGGAAAAAAAAGGCTAGTGGTAGGGGAAGAGATTCTGCCAAGTATCACATCTTAAGTAACCTTCCAAGTTGGGGCAAAACCTGGTCTTTCTTACATTAGAAATTCTGATCAACAGTCAAAAAAAGTGGAATTAGGCCTTTTAATAACAAATAATAAACTTTTCAAAAACTGCCAAATGGGATTTTTATGTATGTTACACTGCAAAACAAACAATAGGACTAGAGAGGTGGGTAACTACATTTTATTTTTTGCAATTGGATAGTTCTAAATTGTATTTTATGTTTTGGTCCAGAGACACGCTTTACAAAACTGATTTCATTGACTACTACAGGAACCTTGCTAGACTGATAAACCATCTGCTGGTAAAAATCAGTGGCTATTTTATGCCTAACTAAACTTAAAATAATCTTTTGTTCCATAGATAGGCATATATTGCACATAACAGCCTGCATACCATCTAAAAATGTGGGCTGATTGTCACCTTGGTGTTGGTAGGAAAACAGTTGCCTTATCCAATATTCCACAGTTGTGTGAACAAAATGTATTTTAACATGATTTCTATTCACAGTTTAAGTGAATCATTTCCCTTTTAATTCCCCACCCCCAACTATTCATTTATACACAGATGAGCAAAGCACTTTGATGAAAGTAGGTTCCAGAATAGACTAAAACTCCAGAATTTGCAAGTTTATTTTTGCAGATAGGAATGATATAAAACAAGGAGCCAAAAAGAAAAAAAAGCCTTTATAACAGATTACATATTTGCTTATTTTAAATATCTTTTGATCATCCCTCCTCCCCCAAATCAAAACAACCCCAAAGAACCAGACAAGGATGATATAATTAATGCAATTAATTTAACTCAATCTTAAAATGTCCCTGAGAACCTCACACTTTGGAAAATATTCTGTGTTAATGTACACCCCATGCAATGCTACTTCAGACAAGCTATTGCCCCATACAAATTAACACGTTTCCAACCATGGTATTACCACGTAGCACACAAAATACATTACACTTATGTTAGTATATGTATGCAGACATGCTTCAGTGATATCTGCATCTTCAATCAAGAATGCTATATGACTACACAGCATCTAAACTAATTCTGCACTTTTTTCTGTAAAAAACATTTTCTTTGTCCTGCCAACTCTAAGACAGTCCTCAAACAATACCAAATTTAGAGAATATTTAGATGTATAAAGTTTCATCCTTAAATTAGGTATTTGTCAGCAGTAGCATCTCAAACAAAGGGGCTTTAATCAGTAAAAATACACACACAATTAGCACTGATGGAAATGGGTTATTATTGAATATTGTTCAATAAATACATTCCAACTAAGTGTCTGTAAGTTCAGTTAGGCTGAGGCCTAGCCATTTTTTCTGGAACAGATTTGTATCACAAAGAAAGGCTAACCTTCTGAAAAAATTACAAAATCATAAGAAAATTTAGTTTGCATCTTATGTACTTCCCTGACAGACTAACATAAAATCTGCTTGACTTACTGAGTGCAATGACCTATTTCTTCTTCTGGGAGGAAGGTGGCGAGGCTGAAATTATTGGATGTTGTTTTGTCTGCATGTATTCCTACACGTGTTATGATGTGTATTTTTCATAGTAGCCTAAACACTTCTTGTTTCAATTAAATAAGCCTTACTGCACAAAGAGGGATTTCAGATTTTTATTCAAAAATGCAAGAAAATCAAAGATCCGACATACGGAGGATTTCATAGTACATCAGTCATTGTTATGGCAAATCCCCATAGCCTCAAAAAGTATGTCTTATAAAGGTTGTATTTATGAATTAGTATTGGGGATGGGGAAAGAAGGTTTGTGTTTATACAAAAAATTATTGATTCTTTGCTAAAGCAACTAATTCTTACCATTTTTAGATTCTGTTAAGTCTTGGGATTGCAGTTTCTCTCAAGTAGCACAAGGAGAACAATCTGAAAACAATTTAAAAAAATAAATTTTTTTTAAAAAGTAAATCTAACTATAGCAATATTTAATAGGTATTTTTGCGAGCATAACAGTGAGTGAGCCAAGTATAAGCTCCAGTGGTTAAGATTAAAGTCATGCAAATTATTCCAACCACATGTATACTTATATATCACGCATCTCTGCACTTCAGTGGTCTGTAGGCTTAAATATAGGACAAAGGAATCCCTGGTACCTGGATTTGCAGAACCCTACGCTATTCTTAGCACTTGGTACATCTCTGAAGAGCACTATACCTAATGGTTAACACATCTAAAAATCAGTCAAGAGGACAAAAAACTGTCACCCTATGCCTACTGTAAAGGTGGTCCATTGTTCCCGGGCATATCACAAAGCGTGTATTTTTTCAGTCAAGAAGCAAGTAGAACAGAGTCAGGCTTTCACAATGTAATGGCCCAGAGAGTAGGTATTTTTGGAAATGGCACTGCATTACATAACCTCCAGTTTTCTCTCTCTCTCTCTCTCTCTCTCTCTTTTCCACACACCCCCCTATTTTAAACAGGGAGAGAAAAAAAAAAGAGGCTAGGTCCTACCTCACTTAAATGGTACCTTAAATTGCCACTCTGTTAATTGACTGAATTTGTAGCATACCTCCTTTATCAGTTTTCATATAGTGACAAAAATTAAAGTTCTCTTCTATTACTGATATCTTTCTTACTTATAGTGTGTATGTATGAAATTTAATTAGGTATGACTCATATGTTTACACACAAAACACACACATACATATTGGATTTAAAACTGCAAACTCATGTATCTATAAATGTACACAGAAACGTTTGAAAGAAAGCACATCAGTAAATGTTCACCAGAATACAGTTGGCTTTGTTTTTTTTTCTCAAAAGAACCACCCAAAATTTAACTGCTGCACATGCAAAAATGCAGAAGGCTGTTGCAAGAATGACTGCTTTCTAAAAATAAACCCCAGCAGCCTGAGAGGAATCCAGTGTCAGGGCGGAGAAGAGGGAGATTCGTTTTACAAGGGAGAAGAAAAGAGATGAAAAACCAATCCCAGAGCCTTGCATGCATGCTAAAAAAGCTAAGTGCATTAGGTTCAAAAATGCATTTTGGTGTTTGCGGAGTGCAAAAGCGAGAAAAAGGAAACAGTTTTAGAAACCACTTCTCATCTCCCCTTGCATGTGTGCAGAAAAATCCCCAGCCTAGAAATCCAGCCTTAAAGCACAAAGAGAAAGAGTTAAAAACATATACTGCACGTTTTCTCATCTTCTTTAAGAAAGCCTGTTTGGAAATGTGCACCGAGAGGGGGAAAGGCAAGCTGCAGCAAAGTCCAGCTAAGGACAAAAGGAAATGAAAAGAAACAAAGAGAGAGAGAGAGAGAGAAAGAGAGAGGATTAATTAAAAATAAAATTCTGTGGATTGGAATTGCATATACTTACAGACAAAAGCCCCCGCTCCCTGTTCACTTTCTGTCCTTTCTACATGATCTGAAACACAAATGTGGATTAAAAAAGGGCAGCATGCTACAGAAGGGAATTTATAGTTGGGGGAGTGGAGAGAGGGTAGGGGGTGTGGGGAAGAATGACTGCACCTCTTCCAAAGTGCAGCCTTGGAGAAAAAAGAAAAAGGGGTGGGGGTGGCTGGGGGAAAGTCTCTCTCAGGCTGGATTTTGGTTGCCAGTGCTGGTTATATTGAACAATGAGCTAATTCTGATGGTAGCTGGCTGGCTGCCAGCGCTC